TTGTTTACAGGATTGGGGCCTCAACACCTGCTCTTACATCCATAGGGGACAAATCTCTTGCTTTAACTGCATCAACATACAGAGTTTTGCTTCTGCAAGCTGGACATGAACTGAAATTATTATTTTTCAAGATGCTCCAAGTGTTTTTCTCAGTCTGTTGAGTTTGTTTTGATGTCTACTGCTTTTACATCAAAAGGCTATTTGACCATATTCCGGTTTGACATCCTTATAAAAATATGTGAAGTGTTCCAGCAATATGAGAGTGCTTTGCAAAGCACACAGCTACTTTAAATTATTGTAGCAATTCATGTTTTTATAAGGACTTGAATTTGGACAGTTCTGTATCACACAGAACAATTTCACAGCGTTAAAGATCATCAATTTGATGAGTTGGAATTTAGAAATTATGAGGATGGTGGACGTGCACAATATAACTTTTGAAATTCTTAAACTTTTGAAAACCTGCAGTATCATCCCTGACAGGCTCTACCCAGCCAGTTCCAGGCCTGAGTTAGAAGCTGTACCTGATATTAGACCACCACACAACTTGAAGTGTGGGCTACTGTAGGACAGCAAAGAGGAAAACTGTAAAGGTTAAACTAGCAGAATTGAAATCTGTTGAAACTGGACTTAGGTGCATCTCTAGGCTTTTACTGTTTCACTTCTCTGTACTGCAAAAATGCTTTAAAATTCACAATTTTGCTTATTCTTGGTGTAATCGTTTGTGCTGAGTTGATCTGTTGACAGATTAGGGTCAGAGACAAGCTTGGATTGCAGCACTTAAACAAGTTATTATATGTGCATTGAGCTCTCATCAGTAATAAGAGGAGGGCTCCCAGCCTGCTCCCAACACAGGGAACAGGAGATGTGCAGCACAGGGGAAAGGCTGGGGATAATGAAAGGCTGGGGATAATGATGTTGCTTCACAATTGGGAGATTAAAAGTGCAACTATCAGGGCTCAGCTGGTGCACTGGCTTGTCAGAGGTAGCTCAGACATGTCTCCAAGCTCTCCTTCTCCTATGGCTGCTTCTCTCATTTCAATTCATCCAGTTTAAAACTGGTAAAACTGGTAATTCCTACAGAAAAAGTATCAATATGAGGAGTTAACAAAGAACAGCTATTGACAGACTAGTCCTCTTAGATATTTCCATTGTAAACAATCCCCAACACAAGTTCCTATTTAGTCCTTTCCTCTACAACTACTTCCTCCACTTCTTTCCTCCAGTCTGGCCTAGAGTTATACCTAGAGTTCAAGCAGTGATCTTAGATTTGAGCAATGTGTTCTCACTGTGAAGTCATAACCAAACCCCCTTCTGAATAATATTTTTCATAATTCACCTTCGAAGGATGAGACAGAGCAGAGGTGTAGTCTGATGGCCTGTGGTTCCCATGGAACTCACAAATCCAAGGTTTAGTATTTGAATAAAAGCCCTTCTTCTAATCTGTGTGGCCCAGAGTGTACATCAATAATTACTGTAACAAGAGGTGTGTAATCTACAGGGGTGAGAGAAGGCAGGTATAACTAATCATGTAACATGACCATTACAGGGTTGTACCTCAGTGGAATTGTACAAAAAACCCAAAATCCCAAATGTTATCTGTATTATCTGCTAGCACCAATGTTAAGCTAAGCCCAAGCATGGCCAGTGATTAGTGCATGTTCTGCAGTGCAGCCCTGTGGAACTATCTGTATTGAATTTTCATGTATCAACAAATAGTGAAGAACTTAAGAGATGCAGTAATAATTTATTCATTTTAAAGCTACTCACCTTTTAATTCCATATGACATTGTAAAAGCTTGGGTTGCAGCAGAGAATTGCTTCTGCTGCTTTTATTGAACTTTTTTTTTTTCCTGCCATTTTAAGTAATTTACCTCTTACAATCTTTGTGCTGTATTTACAAGCAGAGGAACACCTGGTTCATGTTTGAGTTATGCCTTTGAGGGGAAATGCCTGCCATTTGAGACTAATCATCTGCCTCCCTTTAGTCCTTCAGGCTTTTAAACAGAAACATTTGGGTTGTTCTGAATTCATTTATAGAAGAATCCAGATAAAATTTATTAGCTCTTAAACCGTGGGTTGCAGCATCCAGAAGTTTCTGCTCTATTCAGAAAAGATGAAATGCACGACCAGCTTATTCCATCCAGGCTGGTCTGCAGGGTTTCAACCCTTCAGAAAGTCAACCTTTTGAAACATCTCCTTTTATGCTTCAAGACAGATGTCTCGAGGCGTGTTTGCACAAGAGGCCGGACGGCTTAAAAGCGTTATTCGGCAGCGAGCACAAATGGCACAGCCCCATCCCTCAGGTCCTGTTCCACTTAAACTGCAAGCAGAGCCTCCACAGAGGAGTGCCTGTCCATTCCTTCATCACTTGGAAGAGAAGGTGAAGGGCACATTCCCCCTCTTACCCCAGGAAGTCCAGTCTCAAACCCAGACTGTCACCTCTGGTCATAAATCCCTGCCACGACACTGCACTGCTGCCAGCGGGGGGACAGAGGCAGCAGAAACAACAGAAATCACCACTGATTTTTGGGAAGCAACAGTTATTTGAATTCCTTCCATCTGTGATGCCTAATATAATGCTGAATTCTGCATTAAAAAGCTGGGAGACTTTGGGACATCTACCAAACCCCACATTTCTCTTAATTTGTGATGAGCTGACAGATGATACGAAGGTTAACAATTAGTAATGTCTTAAGAAACAAGCAGAAAATTTCGTGATGTTTAGTGTAAGAGCAATACTGGAATTTGCTGAAGGCAATGAGGGCACTCACATTTATCCAGCCAAGAGCTCAGTGCTGGGGTATAATTGTTACTGTGAAATCACCCCGAGTCATGAAGGAGCACTTCACTGACAATATGCTACACTGGAATCAAGAATCAAAGAGAAAAATAGATAACTTCACTATTAGAAATGCTTTATTAGCATGGCTTTACTTCCAAATGAGGTGGCCAAGCCAGTGCTCTGCAGTTTTCAGACAGTGTTCTAATGGGACAGACAAAAAGCTCCTCCCCAAAGGTGTGGGCAAAGCTGGAAGGAGAGGCAACAGATCTGTTGTAGCATGACATGAAGTTGTGTATCTGTACATCTCCTTTACACCACCTTTACTCACTGCTTCCCATTTGCTATCTGACCATGACCCTTCTCCCCAGAGGGATTCAGGGCATAAAGCTTATCAAATGCTTGGGACATCTTGCAAAGGAAAGAACAAGAATTTAAATATAATGATATTTATTTGCCAGAGAAGTTAGGAAATTGTGCTGTAACAAGTTAGGAAGTTGTGCTGGGTCACTTTGACAAAGTTCTAAAATGTGAAATCAATTAATGGGAACTCTTTCCCACATTTTAATTATCTCAGTGTCTGCTTAACAATCTGCCCAGAACTTGGAGCAATACACCAGCCCTCAGCACCTCCTCCCTCGAGCCCCTTCATCCTAACTGAGCAGAACACTGCTCTTCACAGATGTTCAGTTTGCAAAGTAGCAGTTTATAGCATCTTGCCTGACAGTAAAGCCATTTGTCATGGTGGCCAAGTTAACAGTTATTATAACTTAAATGTGCTGTAGTTCTTTTGTGTTGAATCAGGGTATTAACCAGTTTCCACAGCTACAGCAGACAGAACACTTCAGGACCTTTGGGTCTCCTGAGTTGAGAGCCAAGAGAAAACTTCCGTAGAGAAGGTGATGGGATAGGTCAGAAGAGACTGTCCTGTGCAGGTCTCACAGACTGGCTGGGGATGGAAGGGACCTCTAGAGCAGGTTCACCCAGAACAGGCTGCAGAGAATCGTGGCCAGGTGGGTTCTGAGTGTCTCCAGAGGAGACTCCACAATTCTGGGCTCTCACTCAAATCAAGACAGCCACATGTATCTCTCAGCTTTCAGAAAGTGCCTTATCTGTTTGAAGTTCCATCTTCAAAAGCATTAGCAATGTTTACCTTGTTCATGGAAGTGTTCTCTTCCCTGTCAGAAGTGATTTATGGACTTGTATCACTAAATCTCTTTACTGACTAACACTTCCCAGCACGGGGGATAAGAAGCCTTAGCAGTGCAATCCTGTGCAGCAGCTCTGTGTCCAAGGAGGGATCCAGTGCTGGAGTCTGCACTGCAGTCCTGGGGTGCTGCAGTTTGGGTAGGCTGGATCTGTGGATGCTGGTGACACGAGCTGTCCCTGGCTCTGAAGCAGCAGGGACCAGGATCATCTGTACCAGCCTGTAGTTCCTCCAGCTGTAGCTGCCTGGCTCCAGACTGTCCACACAAACTGCAGTCACAGCTCAGTTGGGCACAGACATTCCTTCCACTAAAGGACATCCCTTAATGTTCCCTGCATATTTTTCACACTGGAGGAAATTGTCCTGATAAAGGAAGCATGTTTAAGAAAGATAATGAAAAATACATATAAAGGAGTCAGGAATTAATCAAAGAATGGAAAGAGAAGTAAGTTTTCACCCTTAAGGGTGTGCAGTAGCTGCTTAAACTTTCCAGTTCCTTCTGTTCTGATCCTTCCTCAGGGCTATGTACCTCCTTTCCAAGCATTGCTACAGCCATTGGCTGTAGTTAGTAGGATGGATTGTAATTAATTCCCAATTCTGTGCTTGTGGAAGTGTAATGTTGTCTTTATGATCTTTGAAGTCCAGCAGTCTGTAGGTCAGAGATTACTGCTCACAAAGCAGGGCTCATTTGAGAACCACCAGAAATGGATCCTGTATAACTGGGTTTTGATGACTGTTCTTTCCACTGCTTTATTGAACAAAATCTGTGCTGTGAACACTGCAGTGGAAAAGTTAATTCCAAGATGGAAAGGACTAGTAAAGCATCCTGTGTACGTGGCATGAGAAAACAGCCAAGAGCCGGGTTAGATGACCTGTCACTGGGCAGTCCTGACTGAGAGTCCTGGTCACTGCTGTCCTGAACCTGGTGCTACCAGGAGCAAAGTGTCTATTTACATATTTACTGTTTAATGGCCTCTGACCTTGGTTCTCATCTCTTTTCTTTCCCTGCAGGTACATCCTTGCACTGGGGCCAGCAGGTACCATGCTCTCAGGTATGTGCATTATTCCACCAGCAGTGTTGAAGTGTTGGCTCACAAATCCTCTGCTTCCCTAGAAATGAATTTGCATCTCAAACCACTGACTGTTCAAATGGAAAGCCTCGTAATCTGCTTCCCCAGAGGGCTTTGCTGCAGTGGCATAACTTGCCCTGCATATAAACAAAATCACTACAGTAACATTGCTTTGTGTTTGAAATTGCTTTTTGAAAATTAAGAACTCTCTGCAGCTTTTAACACAGGTTTATTGTTAAGCTGAAACCTTGTCTCGTGTCAGCCCTGAGCAACTTAACACCAAGAACACACAAATAAAACAAAACCAGCTCGGAGCTGACTACAGACTTTTGAGGGAAATAGTGACAGATACCTCAACTGCTGTGATTAAACTCGTGCTGGAGGTTTACATAAGCAGAACAAATGAAAAATTCTCCCCTTTTTTTGAGAGGGGATATTCAGTACAGACACAAAGGCAGGAGAAAACAGGTCTTGGTGTATTTTTGAAAGATCCACAATTATAAGAGTAATGTACCCACCTCATAATCTCAAATGGAACAGAGGGTCACATGTGCTTAGAGCTTGTATGGGCACTGTAAGGTACGAGCTTATTCTTTTTACAATTCTTTATGAGTAAACGAGCTTTTATCAGATCCCTGGTCTCATGTTAAACTAATATTTTTCTGTGTTGTGCTTTGAATTTAAGACACCTGGAAAGTCAGAGGCTTAAAAACCTCTACTCAGGTGACTCCTGATGGATCTTTCTCTTGCACTGGAACAATCTGAGAAGTGAATGGAAGTGAATTCCAACACTTCCAGGTATTTCATTAATGAGGTGCAGTGCTCAGTCACAACATTAATTGATTAGTCTTATTTCTGTGACTGGAGTGGAAACACTGAAAGATGAGATGGGGAGGAAGAATCAACGAAGCCTTTGAGTCACTACAAGGCCTTGTCCCTTTGATGAGAAGTGTCAGATTAATCTTCATAAATGGTCATAATTACTTGTGCCTGGAGCTCAGCCAAGTCATTCCAAATAAAAATTAAATTATACAACTGATTGCATGTTCAGCCTCATCTCCAAAGTGTTAGAGCCACCATGGCAATACAGAAACATGCTGACATTTACTGTATGCTTGTAATAGGATAACAGACTTTTGCCTAAATAGTGAGTAGGATAATCTAGTAATTATTGATTGTTTTCCCTTAAATAATAGTTTTCCTAAAGCTTGCCTGTAGAGCCTGTCACAGTTGCTGTCAGACCCCTCATTTCTTTGGTAATCTGCAGATTCCTCTCCCTTCTTCATTAAACTCAGTTTTAACTATCCCTCGTCAGATGGGAAATTTATGAATGCTTTTGAAAAACTTAAGAATTTGGAGAAAAAATAGTGCAATTAATTAAGTTCACTTAGCAGAAAAGGGGTAAGTACACAGACACAAAGCTGATGCCATCTAACACCAGAAGCAATGCTGCTCTTGGAGGTCCTGAGAACAGCACCAGTCCTTCAGAGGAAGGAACACTTCTAAAAGGTAAATCTTCATAAATCTCACAGAATTCCATTTAGCAGGAAGAACCCAGCTCTTTCCTGTGCCTGTATGTGCTTTGGAAAATAATGACACAGACATGAAACACTACAGGTTCACCCCCAGATCAGATGACTGGAACAGCAGACACTGAGAGAAAAATTATGTGGTCCCTGTTCTGCTCCTTATGCAGCTTCCATCACCTTAATATTGGGCTTTTTTAGCTGGTTATAAATGGGATATTCCAGAAACACGGCATATGGAGCTTTTAAAACAACGTTAGAAAAGGAAATTAGTGTTTCCTCATATGAGACTGTGCTTGCTTCTTTAGTTATTCCAATTTTAAATCATATTAAGTAAAGTAATAGCTGAAGCATCTACACTGATTTATCTGGGCAAAGATAGGTCAGCTTGCACTCTGCTACATTATCTGACAAAACTAACAGGGTGCCAGAGGACATTTAGAAATCTAATACCACTCCACTGTATCCTTAGGAAATAAAGGCTAAAGAACCAAATATTTGTAGTATAGTTTTATTCACCTAGAAACAAAGGATCAAAAGTCACAGCATGGAAGTTCATTTTATTTTGTAAACTCATTTAAAAAAATGTCCATGTACAAAATAAGGACATTTTAACAACATAATTGCAGACAAAGGAAACTATAAAAATTCAACACATTAATAAAAAGGTTTTTATTTTCTTTCTGCATGATTCCTTGCACCTTCCACACCAGTCTGCACACAACAATTGTTAGAATCAGTAAAATTCAAGAGGCTGAACATAAAACCATTGGCTCTGCTGGAGGAATGTGTTGCTGAAAGATACAAACCCTGTTAGCTAAAAGGAAGAGGCAAGACTGAAGGGACTGGCTGAGGCTGCTAAACGGTTATTGCGCATTGATCTGCTGAGAATTCCAGCTCGCTTTGCTTCCTGCAAATATTTAGGCTATTCCTTAGGGGAGTAACAGACTTAGACTGAACAGTGCTTTGTCCAGAGGTGTGCGTTGTCCTAATACAGGTTCAAAAATAAAAACACTTCTGAAGTTAAACAACTGCAGTCCCAACAAGTGTTAATTGTGCACCGAAATTTACAGCAGTTGTATAACAAGCTACTGTGATAGATAATTCAGTCTTCACTACTGGATACTTCTGACTGCAAGTTTGGACTTAAACCCTTGATACGCTGCCAGTAGAAGGTCAATTATAAAATCATATTTGTTTTTAATCTGACCTAATTTATAATTTAATTTGTCCCTGTTTCTCCCCCCAAAACGACTCTCAGTATTGACAGTTTATTCTTGTGACCACGAGTTGAGGTTTCTGTAAAACAGTTTTCTGTCCTGTGTCCTCAACGCAGGCTTGAGACTGTCGAGTGTTTCTCCAGCTCCACTGCTCTCCACCGAGCAGAGCTTTTGGGTCAGGAACAGTCCATGTCTCATGTGACTCCTTATACTCCATTTCCCAGTGTAAGTGTCCCAGCTTTGAAGAGTTAAGTAAACATCTCCCAAATGAGCAAAGAGCAACTCGAATGCCTGGAGTTAATCCACTTCCAAGGTTTGTTTGTCCTCTGCCAGGACGTAGTGCAAGAAACGGCCCCACCAACATAAGGCACTTACCTACGTTACACGAGGGGGGCAGGGGAGAGAACTCCTGGGACATGCAAGTCTGGGGAGATCCCACTGGAGAAAACAAGAGCCCGTGGGCTCTGGGAGTGCTGCCACTTCCTTGGGTGCTGCTCTGCAACAGGGGTCAGATCCTCCCGTTGGCAGCAGCTTCGTTCCCCTTCGACTTCTGGTGGTCGTATTTCACAGAAACAATCAGGAAGAGCAAGAGGGTCGCTCCTTGGATAGCAGCCAGCAGAAAAAAATAATAGTTTAATTGGCAGCCGTTAATGTTACCTAGAAAGAAGTGGGGAGGGAAAAATAAACATTAGTAAAGGCTATACAAATAGAAATGTGAATCTCTTCGAGTTTAAGTGGTGAAGACCTTCCAGCAAAACACGGGCAAAGCCAAATCAAATCACGTTTCCATCCAGCAGCAGTTTCATTTTTAATTATCCAGAGCAAAAAGTAGCCCTGCTGAGGAAGGTGTGCACAGTACAAGGAGTGCTCTCTTTGTGGTCCAATACCTTAGACCAAGTAAAAAGAAAAAAAACCCAAAAAACCCAAAAAAACCCCAAAAAACCCCCACAAACCACCCAAAACTCCTAAAACAACAAAAAACCCAACAAAAACCCCCTCAAAACCCCCCAAAAAACCAAACCAAAACAACAAAAAACCCCAAAACCAAACCAAAAACAAACAAACAAAAAACCCAAACCATAAAAAAACACCAAAACCCCCAAAAATTCCCAAAAATGAAAGCTTTTAAGGAAAGAGTTTGGCAACTCCATAGATACAATGAAAGTCTTTACTGCAATTGTTTCTCAGCCTTCTTTGGGGACAAAGTTTAGAGTTCATGAAAACATACATGGTTTCTTTGTGGTTCACCTCTGACGCTCCCTCAAAGTTGTTACCAATTAGTGATGGTATAATGTGACACATGAAATAATGTTAAATTAAGAAAGCCCATTGCTAAAACTTTTCTGTTAAGAAATGTGCACTACCTATTGCTGTACTTCCAAGAACAATATATTGTGGCTCATTTCCAAGGTGCCCCGTGAGCCACAGCCAATGGGACCATTATGATTATCAAATAGGGTGCAGAGAGTAAAACAGTGATGTACACATGGATCCTAACAAGCTGTTCATGCAGCATGCCCATAAAATGTTCAGATCAAATTACTTTAATTACTGAAACTTAAGATTCAATTAAAGGAACTTATAAAAAAACGCAATAAAATTAAACGGAGGCTTTCCCTGACATTTAAAATACAATATCCACGTGAATCTCCATTTCAGGAGCAGACGTGTTTAAAGAGTAGTAATTATCCTTTATGAGATGGGATATTAAACCCAGGAAATCTTAGTTCTTGTAGGAGAAACAAGTCATTCCAATGACAGGAACCAACACTGAAGTGCCAGCAGAGAGTTACCTCCAATGGTATCGAGAGTGGGCAGGAAGAGCAGAAACTGAGTGCATGTTCTTATAGGTAAGAGGCTAAAAAAGCACCATCATTAATTTGTATGAAATTATAATCCTCCTTATCAGCTGAATTATCTCTGTACAGAGCTGCAGAAAAAGATGCTTTTCTAATCTTAAAATTGACAGGGGAAAAAAAAGTCTCCATATGAGGAAATTTTCATTTGGTGAGGGCACTTCCATAAAGTTCAGGCTACTTGTCATCTTTTGCAGTTTTTTGAAGAACAACTTAAAAACCACAGATGACGACTTGTGGCACATGTCCTGACCGAGATAACGTTACTTTGTGGTAGATGCAAATCAAGTTTAAATGGCAAATTCTCTCATACCACATTTAAAGTTAAAGTTTAGGCTGCACTTTTAAGCCATGTACACACAGTAGGTCTAGCATATGTT